TTATTAAGGAAGGAATTGCAAGGAATTCAGAAACATCGAATTGGAAATGCTACAAAACTGATTGTGACTTGAAGAATTCTGGCTTTTGAATAAACTGGATTTCACCTCCTATTCTGGGGGGAGAAAATCAGAAATATGGGGAAAGTTTTTTTTATTCTTGACGGGATGAGGGTGTCGTTGACCAGGCAGCATTTATTGCCCAGCCCTAATTGCCCAGAGGGCAGTTCAGAGTCAACCACATTGCTGTGGGTCTGGAGTCACATGTAGGCCAGACCAGGTGAGGATGCCAGTTTCCTTCTCTCAAGGACATTAGTGAACCAGATGGGTTTTTCCGACAATCAACAATGGTTTCATGGTCATCATCAGATTCTTAATTCCAGATATTTTATTGAATTCAAATTCCACCATCTGCCAAGGCAGGATTTGAAACATAGAATCCCTACAGTGTGGAAACAGGCCCTTCGGCCCAACAAGTCCACACCAACCCTTAAAACATCCCACCCAGAACCATCCCCCTCACCTAAACATCCCTGAACACTACGGGTAATTTATCATAGCCAATCCACCTAGCATGCACATCTTTGGACTGTGGGAGGAAACCAGAGTCCCCGGAGGAAACCCACGCAGACACGGGTAGAATGTGCGAACTCCAAACAGACAGTTGCCCAAAGGTGGAATCGAACCCGGGTCTCTGGCGCTGTGAGGCAGCAGTGCTAACCACTGAGTCACCGATTTGAACCCGGATCCCCAGAATGTTATCTGAGTCTCTGGATTAATAATCCAGCGATAATACCTAGGCCATCGACTCCCCGCAACCATTAATCAACGTTTACTAATCACCAATGGTAGGAAACAAGGAAACGAAGAAACTTGACTCAATTTTATGCAAGCTCCAGTCAAAAATCACCTCTCACACCTGGATGCAGCAAAATTTGCAGCAAAAATGTTGATGAGAAATTCATTGCATGCCTTGAAAATACCAAATTTGTGCAGTGAGCCGAATATTGAGTGCCAGATCAATTATTTCAGTTGTCAACAAAAATCATTTTCCAGGCAAACAGAGGCCAACAAACACATTCTTCAACTTCACTCCTATGATAATATGAGGTTCACCTTACTCCTGATTACTGCATTTCTTCCATGTAGCCAATTAAAATATGAGGTGCTTGAGTAATGCTGTGCAAAGCTAACTAAACAGACCACACATTAATACACAGCCACAGGTATCACTTGACAGTTCTGAAACAACATTTTACTTTTGGCAAAACTTGACACCACACTTCCAAACTAAGAAGCAGATGTAACAAGCCAATGAAGTAATCGACAATCCTATTCGAGAAATTACATTTTGGAGGATTTATCCAAATTTAATAGTCAGTAATTTTGTGATCAATACAACTGAAATAGTTATTTCCTTTTACAGTCTTCACTGAATTATTATTTTAAAATGTATGAACAGCTTGATTTGCATCCCATATGATGCACTAACAAACATTAATTTAAAGGTCTGAATATCTGAGGCATGAAGGAGGATATCAAAATAGTGTAATTATCTTGTCTGAAGAGAGAGTGAAGTGTGAAACCAGAAAGGCTTCTTTGCTATTTAAAGAAATGAGTCATTGTAAATTTTCCAATGCAATACATTTGAGGCTCCTTCATGCCGGAGTGGGGTTTGCATGCTGGTGGTGGAAGAAGAGGAACAACAATTCCAAAGTAATTTTGAAAACTCTTCTCTTCGGTGATATGAATATGCAATCCACTTTGTATTTATTCTCAAAAAAAGAGTCCAAGTAATCAAAATTTCTTATGGAGGAATCCAATGATGAGTAACTGAAGATATTGCAAACCTGCTACTGCAAAAATAAATGCCCCAATGAAGCATTCAGAATCCACAATACATGTTAAGAATAAACTGAAAGAAAGGAAGATGAACCAAATAAAAATTAACAAAAGTTAAAGTATTTTATGCTGAATAAAAACACACTTTGCCCACATTTCTCTCTGCATAAGAAATTTTT